TTCACGTAATCCCCTCGATGTAACATCAGTCATCTCACCTCCTTTCTGTGTTTCCCGTCTCCATTTCTCCTTCTTTCTCAACCCTTCTGAACTCTGTCCTTGGGTAAATGCTGTTTCTTGATCCCGGAAGGGAGGAAGATGAGGCTTTCGACCCTGGTAGAGAGTGACAGGCTTGGAAACCCACAGGGCTGCTCTGCCTGTCCTATCGGGCTGTGAGGAGTTAAAATCAGCTTGATAACAATGGGCTTTGTTTTTCAATCCCAAATGGTCAATTATTCTAAGGTGTGCATGTGTGAATAGTGTTTATTGTTCTCCTTATAAGACCTGACCATTGTTCAGCTGAAAACTGAGCCACAGAGTCAATTCCAAACCCAATGGGTTATCAAGGGCCAATGTGTTGAGTGTTCCATCAGCTCCAATCAACCAGCAAGCCTGATCTCTTTCATAATTTTAATTTTGTGGCTTTGATTTTCATCACCCCTCTTTCCTAAGAACAGCAAAAAAAAAAACCATGGCTGTACCTCTGAAGGATGCTCATGGGCTTTTAAGGTCCCAGTAGCTTATTATCCACTTGTATTACTATAGACTTCACTCAAACTGCATGGAAATCTTTGTGAAAGGAGTTCTATAGTTTAAAAGGGGAGGGGCACTTCCTTGTTTATCTCTGCACCCCTAAACCAAAAAACCAAACCCACTGGCATCCAGTTGAGTCTGCCTCACGGCAACCCTATAGTATAGAGCAGAACTGTTCCTTTACTGTTTCCAAAACTGTAAATCTTCAGGGCGCAGACAGCCTCACCTCTCTCCCACGAAGGGTTTGAACCAGCCACCTTGCAATTAGCAACCCAACACTTAACCCACCAGGACACCTTTCTGTGTCGCCAGTGCTTGCAGAGAGCCAAAAAGGTAGTAGATGCTAAGTTAGGTTTTCTAGCTAAAGAAACTACTCAAGTGTAAAGGGTAGTTCACCACAGATCCCATAATGGGAGAGATGATGGCAGCAAACCCCCCTTCATGTTTCTTCCATTCTAAAGATTGTGGAAAGAAGTCCATGTTAGATCAAAAGCCTTGAAAGGTTTTGCTAAATGTAGTCTGAGCTTAAAAACAAACAAACAAACAAACTTGTTTTAAACTACACAATCATATCATAAAATTACTGTAATTTGCACCCTTCAAAGTTGTTTTCACGAACTCACCCTTTCTCATTACTGATTCAGGAAATGAGAAAAATGGTCTTTAAGAAATCATATGCAACAAGATTCTAAATTGGAAGTTTTCAACTGAGGTACAAAGATAAACCAGATAAAACGTGTCAATGAACAACCCGAAAACTGGTTATATGATGCCAGGACCTAATTCTTGCTATATTGACGGCATCAAGGGGCCTAGCTTTAGAGGCAAAGGATTTTAGAAAAGGGGTTTCTCTGGAGAAGAGGCCACTTCGCCTCAATTCAGGAGGAGGATGTCTCAAGAAAGCACTCAGACAGAGGTCAATGCATGGCTTCTCCTGAAAAGTCCAAGGAAAGAATCGGACTGGGGAGTGCGTTCTCAGAGGCCCTCACTGCCAAGGTGGGCCACGCCCAAGAGGAAGTAAGTGTGGGGATGTCTGGGCACCAAGGACGGGAAGGAGGCTGTGTGTGGTTGTGACAAGCACAAGCAGAAAAGGCGTAAGACCAAACCAAACTCCTTATGAGTCAGTTCTGTATCGTTGCAAGACTGTAAATCTTTGTGGGACCAGGCAGCCTCATCTTTACAGGAGCAAACAGCCTCAGCAGACAAGCTGGTGAGTTTCAACCACCAACCTGGCAGCTAGCAGCCCAACACCGACCCCATGGTGCCATCAGAGCTCCTTAGAAAGGTGAGGAGGTGGTCAAATGCTCACCAGGGAGTAGGGGGAGTAGTGCCTGTTTAAGTTCTAAACAGGCAGAGGGCAACACAATATACACTTGTTTTAGGGCTGCAGTCCATTCATGCTGCATATTTGGTCTGTAAGTTACACGCATCATCTTCTTCCCATGTGCACACCTCCTAAAACGTTCAACTGTCCCCCTACTAGGAAGACAGGTGGGATTCCTTCTAAAGATTGGGGCAACATCTCTTAATGGGTAGTTGGGAGACTGAAGCCTAGCTCTTTAAGAATATAAATATGAGCACATTTAAGCAATAACTTAAGGAATAACTTCCACAAATAAAGCACCCATAAGCACAGAGAATCCATTTGCTTAAAGACTGATGCCAATGAGGAAATGTCAATGACTCTTACCCAGGCCCTGATTCTGCTGCTCCCACTTGATGGCATCTGGGACCTGGTAGGTGGCTCCCTCCAATGGACCCATGTTTCCCAGCTCTAGGCCACGCTCCTGGGATGTGACACCAGGGGGTGTAAACCCTGGCAGCTCAGTGTCACTGTCGAAGCTCTCATCCAAGGAGTCTGCATCTTTATCTTCCCCATCTTCCTCCTCTTCCTCCTCATCCTCTTCATCTTCCTCCTCTTCCTCCTCGTCTTCTTCTCCCTCTAGGCAAAAAGAAATCAGAGGGGGGAATTAGTAAGTACTGTGAGTGCAGGCTCACACAAATGAATCTTTTGAAATGATTAAAATATTACAATATTACTATGGTCAGCCTGTTCAGAAACATGCTATGGTCAAAGTTGAGCACTGTGAGCTTTGTGGCTATATCATAAACTTTCAAAATCATTGTTATGTCAGATAATGATTAGGTATCGTGTTTGTTAGGAGTCAAAGTTCAGGTAATAGAAGTTGTAAGTAAAGTCACACTGACGAGAATAGGAAATATCCCTCCTCGAAGGTTTATCCGTTAGCGAGCACACTGAGATCTTAAGAAAACTGAAAGGGGGTTGTTCCAATTCCTTGAGCTAGCATGAAACAAGGCTATCCATGATCTTGGCATGATGTTCCGTCTCCTTCCACACCTGTGACTAGAACTCGGAGCGAGGTTAAGTGAAAAGGACACAAATTCCCTCTTGGATCCTGTTCTCCTTAAAGAGAAGTGACTCCAGCAACCGGGAACAACTGCTTTGACTTTCTCAGTCCGCCCTGGAAGGAAATGCGGTGCTGATCCAAGACAGACAGCGATGCAACACCTGGAAACATCACTGCAAACGAACGCAATCATCAGGAAGCAGCGTTTAGGGTGGGCCACTCTCAACATCCAAGTAGAACAGACTCGGGGACGTGCTGCCATGTGCTGCCGAGCTGAGTTCGTCTCACAGTGACCCTGTACGACTAAAGGGTTTCTTAGGCAGTAATCGCCCCAGGAGCTGATTGTTCCCGCCTTTCTCCCGCAGAGTTGCTAACTTTTCAGTTACTAGCTGAGCACTGAACCACTGTGCCACCAGGGGGCCGAAGATGCCCATGTTCATTTTGTTTCCCTAAGTTCCTAGGAAGAGTTCCTGGCCCACCTTCACCATGAAGACACCCCCGAATTCCCTGATGGGAGCACCAAGCTTAGTGAAAACCTACTTTCCTTTTGGTTGCTCGCCTTGGTTCTCAGCCCAGCATTGTTACAGCCAGAAACTCTCATCAAATGGTTGAGGAGAGACGGGAAGAAGGACAAAAGCCAGTCAAGAAAGTAGAAACTCGGGGAGACAACAAGGTCAACTGGCATAACATAGTTCACAAAGGCCATGTCCTACTTTAGTAAGCCAGGGTCTTAAAAGCTTGTTTGTAGCCACCTAGGGCACAACTGTGGGCCTCTCCCCATGCAGAGCAAAGACGAGGGAAGAAAACTGCAGACGCGTGGAAACCGTCCAATGGACGGTTGACCCTCATGACCCTCAGCCTTCACAGCCCTACGACCAGCAGGACTGGGTGGTGCCTGTACCACTGCTGGCTGCTCTGCAGTGGATCATATTCGGAGTGATTCCATTGCAGGAAAAACTCAAAATCATTAGAAAAAAAAAAAAGGTTAGTTCTGAGTCTGAAAGGCTTGGAACTAAAATCAACTCAATGACTCAATTTTCATTCAAAAAACACAGGTCTATAAGCAGCAGTGAGATGTAAATAATTTAAGAACTGGTTCACTGCCCCTAATGACTTTTACTGAAAGGTTCATTATTTCATACAGTTAATACTTAAGAGTAATAAAAGAGGTGCACAGGCTAGATTATAAGAGTTTTAAAATATTAACGAAAACATATTAAATAATACCTAACAAAAAACAATAAAACATTTAAGATATTTCCATATTGGTTCTTGATTAGCATCCTCACTTGCAATGCGCTTAGCTTCTTCCCGAGCAGCAACGGCTATGTGATTTATCCTTAACCATCTTTTCTTTTCTTTCCCTGCCCCCGCCCCCCACCCCACTCCAGTCCCCTTAACCATCTTGTCACTGTAGGAGTAGGATCCCATTTTTTTAGAAATAGGCCCAATAGACAATTCATTAGATATATTAGAAACAGGCAACATTCCTTCTCTGAGTGCATTATGCTCATCTTTGAAAAAGCCCTTTCGGCTTCTGCTGAACTTAGAGCAATTGTCCTGACAACAGTTTCAGCTCGTTGAACACTTCCAGGAATCACATAATTCACTCACAATATTTCATGGGAACCAGGGCCGTAACACAAAGCTGAAACTAATGACAGCATGTCACAATCTGGTTGTTTGGAACTTTCTTCTCCTGACGTTGTATGTTTGTTTACTGAAATAGCAAACACGAAAGGAATAAAAATGGAGTATTGCATCAAAAGTATGATGAGTTTTATGAAAAAAGAATTAAGTAAATATTATAAGCATAGTTCGTTCCATCTAATTTTTTATACCTTTGGATGGAATGAACATTACTATGGGTGCTTAGAATACACTGTTGCTCAGATGAATGTTAAAAAAGAATAAGGAATGTAAATTTGTGATAAGATGCCCAGCTGTCCATTTTAGAGAAAACCCTGATTAAAAGTGCACTCTTTTTTTTAATTACTTTATTGGGGACTTCTACAACTCTTAACACAACCCATACACACATTCATTGTGTCAAGCACATTTTTACATTTGTTGCCATCATCATTCTCAAAAACATTTACTTTCTACTTGAGCCCTTAATATTAGCTCCTCATTTTCCCCCTCCCTTCCCACTACCCCCTCCCTCGTGAACCCTTCCTAATTCATTAATTATTATTATTTTGTCATATCTTACACTGTCCGACGTCTCCCTTCACCCACTTTTCTGTTCTCCATCGCCCAGGGAGAAGGTTACACGTAGATTCTTGTAATCGGTTCCCCCTTTCCACCCCACCCTCCCTTCACCCTCCTGGTAT